AAAAAAAAACTGGAGGTCTGCTTGTATGTCTGCCCCCTAACATTATCAAGACATGGCCTAATGTCAAGACCCTTTTAAGTTTTAGCTGATGAAGTTAGTTTCCCAAGGTCATTAAGAACTTTGAGGAACTATTTTCTTTTGTTGGGTATGGAGAAGTCCAACTCCCCCGCTCTTCGTATTCTCATTATCTGGTTGTTAATTTCTTAAACTGCGATGTATCTAACTTTTGGCTGTTAAGAAACATTTACTGCAGTTAATGCTGGAGTTTTATCCCCATTCTACAGGTAATTCCACCTTTATTGCTAAAGCTAATGGCTGAAGCTTTTCAGACCACTTTGAGGTATGAAATCCCTTTGTTTCGAATTTGTGTTTCCCTCTGTAATTCTCGTTTTAGACTCTAAATGGTGCTAGCCCTTGTTCCAACAATAAAGACATGCCGTTGCCTCATTAGGATAAAACACTTAAATGAACCTTGTTGCTCTTAGTATAGGAATGATCTATTGCTACTTCAGTACAATAAAACTCTTAAATGAACCTTGTTTCTCTTAGTATGGGAATAATCTAGGTTGCTTTCAGTAATGCACACCTTATTTCACCTACTTTTTAGACCCTCTCAGTGTGTAATGTAAAATTATTATTACATTTATTAATAAGCTAATGAGTATGCATCTGGAAGACTAGCTGGAGTGCTAGAAATAAATGTTCAGTGACACTTTTTCTACTCAAGAGTCAAGAGTGTAACTCTTAATTCTCAGAACTCTTATTGGAGCCACTTCGTAGAACAAACTACGAAGAATTGAAAATACTAAATCAATCAAAGAAATCATTCCTATGCAACTTGGTATAATAAGTTGGAAAGTAAAAGCAAGCATGCTGCGGCAGCAATTGTTACAAACCTGAAATAACTGTCTAAAAAGTATTGGAAAGCTATAGGAGAGCTTCAATATCTTGGTAATGATCTAACTTAAAGTCTGAACATGTGATTTATATCAGAATTTGTTGGGGCATGATATATTTTGAAGGTTGCATCTGTATATAGTGTATCATATGGTCATATAGTCGCATGCATTTCAACTTAATTTAATTCTTGCTGAGGAACTCGTTCCCCGCATATTATGAATAAATATTTAGTTGTGTCATATTAACAGTTGTCGTGTCTCTCACTCTTCCTATTTGTCAAGTAAATCTGCTTGTTCTCCACACTTTTGTTCCCATAGGTTGGTATTGGCCTTCAAAGGGCAGATCCAATTCGTAAACTTCTCAACACCAGCCTTGAACTATTAGTGCAGTTGTTATATTCCATCGTCCTGAAATCAAGCTGGTTGGTAATAGTAGAATGACGCCTTTACATATTTTCCTTCCGTAGAAAGAATTATCTCCATTAGTAAAGGAGTTCAGTTTAGTGCTCATGTAATACTGCATGCCATTGGAAATTTTCTTGTTTCTACTTTCTTTGGTACTTTCAATGCTACAGGGATTGCCGCCTCCTGAGCCTGATATATTCCATGTCTTCGACTTATCATTTCCCCCCAGGTATCCTTCTTTTTTTTGTAGTTTTATGTACGTGTTAGTGAATGATGGTTTGTGTGGTTTGTAGTTTGCTTTCATATTAGGTCAACAAATTAATTGGGTCTCTGAGCTCAAGAGGAGACTAAAATCGACCATTTGAATCCTTATTGTCCATGTCGCTTGATTTAACCCCGTCTTACTCTGATATTATGTTCAAGAATTTGTTGTAATGCTTAAATAATGAGTTGAAGATTGGATATTCAAGTAATGAAGTGAAGACCTCCC